TTAGCAAATGGCTGCAATATAACAAAGAGTGAAAAATTTAAGGGGGTCTGAATACTTTCCGTACCCACTGTATATATATATATATATTAGGGGTGTAATGGTTCTCGGTAAAAAAATCAAACTGTACCGTTCTCCACCCACGGCTCGGCACGCACTTGCACCGCGGTTCAACTTAAATCTGACAACGCATCTGTAATACGGTTCGTTAAAAATAACAACATGTAAAACAGACAGAGTTCGACTAATATATTTTTCTGTCGATTGGCGATGCGCGTGCATTCTGGCTTCCCAATACATTATAAAAAAACAAAAAACATATCAGTGTACTGGATCCGTGCATTGTCTTAAAGTGACAGCAGGCTATTTACCTGCTGTCTGTGTTTTTAATGTTAATCAAACAACAAAAGACAAGGATATCACTCACTGCTTTTGATTGAATAGCTTTTGTAACTTTAATAAGGATTAATCTTCAAGTTATATAGTCAAATATGCAATGCTATTTTACATTTCATTACTTTATTCAATTTCTGTACCTACACTGTAAATTATTTCCAGGATTTCACAAGATGTTACTGTAATATTTCACTGTAAATTGCATTATTATCACTTCACAGGCTTTAACTGTGATATTTCACAGTATAATAACGTATTCAGAATTTCACTGTGAAAATACTGCAGGCGGGTCAGTTACAGGAAACTACTGTGAATTTGCGCGCAATTTTTTTTTATAAAAACTAATGTTAGACCTACCTAAAAAAACTGAAAATCATTGTTTATTTTATTTGTATCTTTTTTCACTGTTTATTTATTTGTGCTGTTACTTGTAGTTAAGATTATTTATTCTTATTTTCTTTATTTTTATTTGACAATATAGTTTTTTCCCTAAACATAGCACATACCCAACCGTACCGAAACCGTGACTCTAAAACCGTGATACAAACCGAACCACAGTATAATAACGTATTCAGAATTTCACTGTGAAAATACTGCAGGTGGGTCAGTTACAGGAAACTACTGTGAATTTGCGCGCAATTTTTTTTAATAAAAACTAATGTTAGACCTACCTAAAAAAACTGAAAATCATTGTTTATTTTATTTGTATCTTTACTCTATTGTATTTATTTGTGCTGTTGCTTGTAGTTAGACAGATTATTCTTATTTTCTTTATTTTTATTTGACAGTATAGTTTTTCCCTAAACATAGCACATACCAAACCATACGAACCGTGAGTAAGTTGAACCGTTCCACCCCTAGTATGTATATATTAATATATGTTAAGATGTTTGTTTTAAAGCTGTTCATACATAAATATACATTCATATTGTACATTTCAGCATAAATGTACAAATGTTACATATGAATACGTACAAAAACTAATTAGATCAGGCTGGAATGCCAAAGTTTTACTGGTAGGTTGATAATAATTTATCAATGCTCAAGAAATGTATCAATGATTTATAAATTTAAACATTCTTCTGAATTTTGTTGTGCAATTAGCTCTGCTGCTACCGCAACATATCATAATTAAATGCAATTTGCACTCTGTTAACCTTCTGGCGTGGCCTGAGGTTAAGTGCTTTGCTCGAGGGCACAGTGATGATAGTTCAAAGATCAGCATGTGTGGGGTTTATATATGCAGTTTTAGTTACAAGCTACTTTAACCCCTTATACACATTGCATTTAAGTTGGCAGTTTCCTGCCAAAGCAACTTGCCGCAGAAATTAATAAGGACCTTGC